AGGCACTGCAAACTACTCCAACCAGAGAAGTCAGCCATGGCAGAGCACCTGAGGAACCAACCTGGACACAGCAGATTATTGTGCTGGACCACTCTCACAACCACCATGTCAGGCTACACAGAGAAGCCATTCAAATCCACAAGAAGCATGTAGACAATTTCAACAGAAAGGAGGAAACCATGAAGATGAACAAAATCTGGCTACCAGTATTAAAAACTCAAAAATTACAACAGCAAAACAACAGAGAGGAAACAAACAAGGACATCTAATCACCTCTCAACAAAGGTTTGCTCCAGGCACTGCCAGGCCATTGATGCTGCAAGGCTTATTTACTTACTTAGGCGATCCCTCGCTTTCCGAGGATGATTGTCTTCCAATATTCTTGTGGGTCCGTATGTGGCTGTGGAGCCCTATTCTTGCTCTGCATCTTCTTCCGCAGTGAGGGCATTGGTTTCCAGGTGGAAGGCGGTCTCGGCCGGGGTTGGCTTGACGCGCCTTCCTCTTGGCATGTTTCTCTTTTTCACCCTCCACTCGTGCCTCCTCAAATTCTGCAGCACTGCTGGTCACAGCTGACCTCCAGCTGGAGCGCTCAAGGGCCAGGGCTTCCCAGTTCTCAGTGTCTATGCCAGAGTTTTTAAGGTTGGCTTTGAGCCCATCTTTCAATCTCTTTTCCTGTCCTCCAACATTCCGTTTTCCATTCTTGAGTTCGGAGTAGAGCAGCTGCTTTGGGAGACGGTGGTGGGCATCCGGACAACGTGGCCGGTCCAGCGGAGTTGATGGCGGAGGACCATCGCTTCAATGCTGGTGGTCTTTGCTTCTTCCAGCACGCTGACATTTGTCCGCTTGTCTTCCCAAGAGATTTGCAGGATTTTCCGGAGGCAGCGCTGATGGAATCGTTCCAGGCAGGCTCTCACCTGGTCATTCCACAGATATATAAACCCATTTTTCCTACTTCCAACAGACCTCACTACCTCTGAGGATGCTTGCCATAGATGCAGGCGAAACGTCAGGAGAAAAATTGCCTCCAGAACATGGCCATATAGCCCGGAAAAACCTACAACAACCCAATAAGAATAGAGTCGTAGGACATGCAAGTCATCGTCACAGTAACCCACTTGTATACATTTGCCATGTGTGACTTTTCAATAACTTTAAAGCATAGGTTCTTTTTATTGCAATTTCCATTGTGAGAGGGTATAAGGTGCCGAGCCAAATTCAAGGTGCAGGTCATCTATATAAACAAAAATGTGATGTTCGTTTGTGGGATTACCAGAACTCAAAAACCATTGGATGAATTGACACCAAATTTGTACAACGTACACCTAATAACCCAATGTATGTCCTTCACTCATAAAAACACTGAAAAATACAGCAGAAGGGACTTAAAAAGCCCCCAAAAGCTAAATGACAATACAGAAAAAAGGGAAGAAAGAGGGAGGGCAGGGGAGAAAAGAAAGAAAGAAAGAAAAGAAAGAGGGAGAAAGGGAGGGAAAGAAAGAAGGAAAGGGAGAAGGAAGGAAGGAAGGAGGTAGAGAAGGAAGAAAAGAGAGACAGAGGAAGAGAAAGAAAAAGGGGGAAGGAAGGAAAGTTAAAAAAGGAAGGAAGGAGAGAAGGAAAGAAAAAAGGGAAAGAAGGAAGCAAAGAGGGAGCGAAGGAAGAGGGAGGGAAGGAAAGAAGGAAAAAGAGAAGGAAGAAAAGAGAGACAGAGGAAGAGAAAGAAAAAGGGGGAAGGAAGGAAAGACAGAGAAGGAAGGAAGAAGAGAAGGAAAGAAAAAAGGGAAAGAAGGAAGCAAAGAGGGAGCGAAGGAAGAGGGAGGGAAGGAAAGAAGGAAAAAGAGAAGGAAGAAAAGAGAGACAGAGGAAGAGAAAGAAAAAGGGGGAAGGAAGGAAAGACAGAGAAGGAAGGAAGAAGAGAAGGAAAGAAAAAAGGGAAAGAAGGAAGCAAAGAGGGAGCGAAGGAAGAGGGAGGGAAGGAAAGAAGAAAAAGAGAAGGAAGAAAAGAGAGACAGAGGAAGAGAAAGAAAAAGGGGGAAGGAAGGAAAGTTAAAAAAGGAAGGAAGGAGAGAAGGAAAGAAAAAAGGGAAAGAAGGAAGCAAAGAGGGAGCGAAGGAAGAGGGAGGAAAGAAGGAAAAAGAGAAGGAAGAAAAGAGAGACAGAGGAAGAGAAAGAAAAAGGGGGAAGAAAGGAAAGACAGAGAAGGAAGGAAGAAGAGAAGGAAAGACGGGAAGGAAGGAAGGAAGGAAGGAAGGAAGGAAGGAAGGAAGGAAGGAAGGAAAAGGAGTGAAGGAAGGAGGGAAAGAAGGAGAGAAAGAGGGAAGGTTGGCCACAGCAACGCATGGCAGGTACAGCTAGTCTATAAAAATAAAAATGTAATGTTCGTTTGTGGGATTAACAGAACTCAAAAACCACTGGACGAATTGCTGCCAATTTTGGCCACAAGACACAAGACAACCAAGGAGTGACCATCACTCAAAAAAAATTGATTTTGTCATTTAGGAGTTGTAGTTGCTGGCATTTATAGTTCACCTACAATCAAAGAACATTCTGAACTCTTCCAATGATGGAATTGAACCATCTCTCACAAGGTGCCCAAAATATGAAAGCCTCCATCTACAGTAGTGATTTTTTCCTTTCCCTTGGGAGCTCAGGCTTGATTGATCGGTCTTTTGAGCAGTCTACTGCATGTGTAGCACTGTATCCCCCATGCATCACATTTCAAATGAGTTGATTTTCCTTTCCTCAGCTTTTCCATCCATCTCAAGAATTTGGAAACACTCCAGCACCAATGATCCATCTCTGTGTGTGCAGTGATACCATCTCATGTTCTGTGCCAGTGAAGGCTTTCGAGGCCAACCTGCTCTCTCTGTATCGATTAACAGAGGCGATTATATAAAGTACAACACACACTTCCTCAGTCCCTCGTTCCTTCTGAGGTTAGCGGGGGTCCTTCCCTTTGCTGGGGAAGAATGGACTTTACAGCAGTGAAATATTGCTTTCTGTGCATGGAATATTGTGTCCAATTCTGGGCACCACAATTCAAGAGAGATATTGACAAGCTGGAATGTGTCCAGAGGAGGGCGACTAAAATGATCAAGGGTCTGGAGAACAAGCCCTATGAGGAGCGGCTTAGGGAACTGGGCATGTTTAGCCTGAAGAAGAGAAGGCTGAGAGGAGATATGATAGCCATGTATAAATATGTGAGAGGAAGCCACAGGGAGGAGGGAGCAAGCTTGTTTTCTGCTTCCTTGGAGACTAGGACACGGAACAATGGCTTCAAACTACAAGAGAGGAGATTCCATCTGAACATTAGGAAGAACTTCCTGACTGTGAGAGCCGTTCAGCAGTGGAACTCTCTGCCCCGGAGTGTGGTGGAGGCTCCTTCTTTGGAAGCTTTTAAGCAGAGGCTGGATGGCCATTTGTCAGGGGTGATTTGAATGCAATATTCCTGCTTCTTGGCAGGGGGTTGGACTGGATGGCCCATCAGGTCTCTTCCAACTCTTTGATTCTATGATTCTATGATTCTATGTATTCAGATTAATCTCTGGTGTGAATGGTTTTGTGCAGAATGTTTCTGGAACCCCCGGAACCCCAGGTCTCGGCGGTGGCCGGGAGAGCTTTTGCACAATTAAAACTTGTGCGCCAGTTGCGCCCGTACCTTGGGAAGTCTGATCTGGTTACAGTGGTCCACGCTCTCGTTACATCCCGAATAGATTACTGCAACGCACTCTACATGGGGTTGCCTTTGAAGACTGTTCGGAAACTTCAATTAGTCCAGTGGGTGGCAGCCAGATTACTCACTGGAGCATGATACAGGGAGCATACCACTCCTTTGTTATGTCAGCTCCACTGGCTGCCGATCCAATTCCGAGCACAATTCAGTGCTGGTTTTGACCTACAAAACCCTATACGGTTCCGGCCCAGCATATCTGTCTGAACGTATCTCCTTCTACGTCCCGCCTCAGAGCTTAAGATCTTCTGGGGAGGCCCTGCTCTCGGTCCCACCTCTATCACAAGTGAGGTTGGTGGGAACGAGGAGCAGGGCCTTCTCGGTGGTGGCCCCTCATATTCAGAGAAAGCGAATGTTTTTGTTCAAAGAATGTGGATGTTTCTGTGCAGAATATTCAGAGAAAGCGAATGTTTCTGTGCAGAATATTTTTGTGCAGAATATTCAGAGAAAGCGAACGTTTTTGTTCAAAGAATGTGGATGTTTCTGTGCAGAATATTCAGTGAACGTGAATGTTTCTGTGCAGAATATACAGAGAAAGCGAATGTTTCTGTGCAGAATATTCAAAGAATGTGAATGTTTTTGTACCGAAAATGTGAATGTTTTTGAGTGGAATATTCAAAGAATGTGATTGTTTTTGTTCAGAGAATGTGAATGTTTCTGTAGCACCGGGACTGTGGCACAGCTGTCTGAGTGTCAGCTGCATTAAGATCACTTCTGACCACAAGGTCATGAGTTCGAAGCCAGCCCGGGTCCGAGTGAGCTTCCGACCAATTGTGTAGCTTGTTGTCGACCTTTGCAACCCAAAAGACAGTTGCATCTGTCAAGTAGGAAAATTAGGTACCACATTAAAGTGTGGGGAGGTTAAATTAACTAATTTATGAGATCATAAAGAAGTCTCCAGCAAAGCATTCCAGCGGGGAAGCATGCGGGGAATGCGGAAGTGCTTCATCAGTGTCGCAGATGGACGATGAAAGCGACAGCTCCCCTGGCGGCCAGAAAAAGTTAAATACCCTCTGCCTATGTCTGTATATGTTTGTATGTCAAAAATTGGCATTGAAAGTTTGCCATATATGTGTACTCTGCAGGGTGAGAAGGGCGGAATATAAAAGCTGTAAATAAATAAATAAATAAATGTTTTTGTTCAGAGAATGTGGATGTTTCTGTGCAGAATATTCAGAGAAAGCGGATGTTTCTGTTCAGAGAATGTGAATGTTTCTGTGCAGAATATTCCGACACAGTGGGTTTATTGGCCCCGTTTCCTGTTGCCTTGCAGATCCAGACTGGGCATCTTACACTTTGGGAGTCTTCATCTGCCTCAGTTGCTCAGGGATCCATCGCAACATCCCACACCTCAGCAAAGTGAAATCGGTGCGTTTGGATGAGTGGGACAATGCGCAAGTCGAGGTAGGTTTGAGTCTAGCAATATCTTCAAGGCAGGGGTCATCAAACTAAAGCCCGCGGGACACATCCGGCCCACAAGGCGTGTTCCCCGACCCACGCCATTTGCCCCACTCACTTCCCTTGCATTTGCCCCACTCATGCTGTTAATAGAGAAGAGGAAAGGAGTAGGAAGGAGGAAGAAAAGAAAGGGAAGAGGGAGGGAGGGAAGGAAGGAGGAAAAGGAGGGAAGGAAGGAAGGAAAGAGGGAAGAAAGGAAGGAAAGGGGGAAAGAAAGAAGGAAGAAAAGAAGGAAAAAGAAGAAAAGAGGGAGGGAGAAAAGAGGGAAGGGAGAAAAGGAGATAAGCAAGGAAAGGGGGAAGAAAGGAAGGAAAGGGGGAAAGAAAGAAGAAAGAAAAGAAGGAGAAAAGAAGAAAAGAGGGAGGGAGAAAAGAGGGAAGAGAGGAAAGGAGATAAGGAAGGAAAGGGGGAAGGAAGTAAAGAAGTAAAAAGGAAGGAAAGAGGGAAGGAAGGAAGGAAGGGAGAGGATGAAAGAAAGGGAGGGCGGGAGGGAGTGAGGAGGAAGAAAGGGAAAAGGAAGGGAAAGAAGGAGGGAAGGAAAGAGGAGAGAAAATAAAGGGAAGAGGGAGGGAGGGAAGGAAGGGAGGAGAAAAGGGAGGAAAAGAAGGAAAGAAGGAAGGAAAAGGGGAAAGAAAGAAGTAAGGAAAAAAGGAAGAAAAGAAGGAAAAAAGAAGAAAAGAGGGAGGGGGAAAAAGAGGGAAAGGAGAAAAGGAGATAAGGAAGGAAAGGGGAAAGGTAGGAAGAATAGAAACAAAAAATGAAGGAAAGAGGGAAAGAGAAGAAGGAGGGAAGGAAGCTAGGAAGGAAAGAGGGAAGAAAGGGAGAAAAGGGAGGAAAGAGGGAAGAAAAGAAGTAGAAAAGGGGGGAAAGAAGGAAGGAAAGAAAGAGGGAAAGAAGGAAGTCAGAAAAGAAGAAGAAAAGGAAGGAAAGAGGGAGGGAGGAAGAAGAAAAGGGAATGAAGGAGAAAAGGAAGGGAAGAATGAAAGAAGGAAAGCGGGGAAGGAGGGAGGAAGATAGAAAAAGGGAAGAAGAAAGGAAGGAAAAAGAGAGAAGGAAGGGGAAAGGGAGAATAGGAAGGAAGAAACAGCGATGGAAGAGAAGTAGGAAAGAGAGAAAGAAAGGTAGGTAGGAAAAAGAGAGGGAAAGAAATCATAAAGCGTGAGACAGCAATTCCTCAAAAGTCAGGTCAAAGGGGAAACGATTGAACAAGATCTTCTAACCAAAGACGCGTTCTATGGAAAGGAAGGCTCCAGGCAGTGAGTCTTCTTCACTCTTATCTTTTGCCTCTTCTTCTTCTTCTCCGCAGTTCATGGCATCCACCGGAAACACTGCAATGAGAGCAAAGTACGAATCAGAGATCCCACCATTTTACTACAAGCCCACTTTTTCCGACTGCCTGTAAGTACCTCCCCAAAAATATGTTTGCACAGAAGGGAAATTTATTTATTTATTTATTTATTTATTTATTTATTTATTTATTTACTTTGCTTCTATACGCTGTATCTCAAGCCCGAAGGCGACTCACAGCGGTTCACAAACAGTAGAAACAGTAGAAACAGCAGTGGTTCCATAAAACATATAACAATTGACTTAACACATTATCCATAAATTACCAATAAGCAATTACAATGCACAATTATTACAAAAAACAACCGTACCCAATCTTCTCATCATCCAAGCGTAGTCCAGGTTCGTCGTCCCTTGTTCCATTCCTATGTTCCATTACCAGATTGCACTAAATTACTCAAACGCCTGCACAAACATCCAGGTCTTCACCTTTTTGCGGAATACCATTAGAGATGGTGCTAGTCTAATGTCCGTAGGAAGGGCGTTCCACAGCCGAGGAGCCACCACCGAGAAGGCCCTATCTCTCGTCCCCGCCAGCCGAGCTTGAGAAGCAGGCGGGATCGAGAGCAGGGCCTCCCCGGAAGATCTCAAAGTCCTGGTGGGTTCATAGGCAGAGATGCGGTCAGATAGGTAGCTTGGGCCGGAACCGTTTAGGGCTTTAAAGGCCAACGCCAGCACTTTGAATTCAGCCCGGTAGCAGATCGGTAGCCAGTGGAGTTGGCGCAACAGGGGGGTTGTATGCTCCCTGTTAAAATCATGGCTGCCGAGCGCTGGACTAGTTGGAGCTTCCGAGCTGTCTTCAAAGGCAACCCCACATAGAGAGCGTTGCAGTAGTCTAAACGGGATGTAACCAGAGCGTGGACTACCGTGGCCAAGTCAGACTTCCCAAGGTACGGGCGCAGCTGGCGCACAAGCTTTAGCTGTGCAAATGCTCCCCTGGTCACCGCCGAAACCTGGGGTTCCAGGCTCAGCGATGAGTCCAGGGTCACACCCAAGCTGCGAACCTGCGTCTTCAGGGGGAGTGCGGCCCCATCCCACACAGGCTGTAACCCTATGCCCTGTTCGGCCTTGCGACTGACCAGGAGACCTCTGTCTTGTCTGGATTCAATTTCAATTTGTTCGCCCTCATCCAGACCGTCACAGCGGCCAAGCACCGGTTCAGGACCTGGACAGCCTCCTGGATTATGCACATCTGTACTGCGTGCATGCTTGTTTTCCTGATATTTTCTATCCCAAGCAAGCTTTGACATGTTGCAAAGGGCCTTTTGCATGCTTCAAGGAATGCAAAATCCCCTGGATTCCTGCAACCCCAGGTGTTCCTAGAAATCGATACTATGGTGCCCCCACTTCCTTATGTACATTCATTGGATGGTTTGGGATCAAAACAAAAATACCAGCTGAGTACAGTAGAAAGCAGTGGTTCTCATGTCAGTGAGACAGAGAATTTATTATTTATTATTTACTAGCCGTCCCCTGCCACGCGTTGCTGTGACCCTGTCTGTGTACATGAGTTTTGTGAGTGTATATATGTGTTTATGTGTGTGTATATATTTGTGTATATATCTATGTATATATATGTGTGTGTGTATATATATATATCTGTGTATTTGTGTGTTTATATGTGTAAATGCTTATTGTGTATATGTGTGCATGTGTGTATGTGTACGTATATGTGTGTGAGTATATATGTATATTTGTGTATGTGTGCATATATATATGTGTGTGTGTATGAATGTGTGCATGTGTATATGTATATGAGTGTATGTGTATCTGTATATATATGATGTATTTAGGGTTTCTTAAAGTGTATTCCACTGGGGTTTGTGTGTGTGTGTGTGTGTGTGTGTTTAGGGGTGATAGACACTCATTGCACTGTTAGGTGTATTGTCTCCAAATTTCGTGTCAATTTGTCCAGTAGTTTTTGAGTTATGTTAATCCCACAAACGAACATTACATTTTTATTTATATTTATATACTAGCTGTCCCCTGCCACGTTCTGTGTGGGAGGTTTGGCCCAATTCGATCGTTGGTGGGATATCATAATGCTCTTTGATTGTAGGTGAACTATAAATCCCAGCAAGTACAACTCCCAAATGTCAAGATTCTATTTCCCCCAAACTCCACCAGTGTTCACATTTGGGCATATGGAGTATTCTTGTAGAGTTTGGTCCAGATCCATCATTGTTTGAGTCCACAGTAATCTTTGGATGGAGGTGAACTACAACTCCCAAACCAAAGGACAGTGCCCACCAAACCCTTCCAGTATTTTCTGTTGGTCATGGGAGAACTGTGTACCAAGTTTGGTTCAATTCCACCGTTGGTTGGGTTCAGAATGCTTTGATTGTAGGTGAACTATAAATCCCAACAACTAAAACTCCCAAATATCGAAGTCTATTTTCCCAAAACTCCACCAATGTTCACATTTGGGCATATTGAGTATACGTACCAAATTTAGTCCAGATCTATCATTGAGTCCACAGTGCTCTCTGGATGTAGGTGAACTACAACTCCAAAACTCAAGGTCACAATGCCCACCAAACCCTTCTAGTGTTTTCTGTTAGTCATGGGAGTCCTGTGTGCCAAGTTTGATGGAGTTCATAATCCTCCTTGATTGTAGGTGAACTATAAATCCCAGCAACTACAACTCCCAAATGACAAAATGATAATTTTTTTGAGTGATGGTCACTCCTTGTGTTGTGAGACGTTTTGTTGCCAAATTTGGTGTGATTTCGTTCATTGGTTCTTTTGTTTTTAAGGTACTCATTATGCACAGAGCATTTATATATATAGACAGACAGAGAGACAGATAGGAAGATAGATAGGAAGATAGATAGGAAGATAGATAGAAGATGGATAGATAGATAGATAGATAGATAGATAGATAGATAGATAGATAGATAGATAGATAGGAAGATAGATAGGAAGATAGATAGGAAGATGGATAGATAGATAGATAGATAGATAGATAGAAAGATAGATAGATAGATAGATAGATAGATAGATAGATAGATAGGACAGATAGATAGGAATAGATAGATAGATAGATAGATAAGATAGATAGATGGATAGATAGATGATAGATAATAGATAGATAGATAGATAGATAGATAGAATAGATAGATAGATAGATAGGATAGATAGATAGAAAGATAGATAGATAGATAGATAGATAGATAGAATGATAGATAGATAGATAGATAGATAGATAGATAGATAGACAGACAGACAGACAGATAGATAGATAGGAAGATAGATAGATAGATAGAGAGATGATAGATAGATAGATAGATAGATAGATAGATAGATAGATAGATAGATAGGAAGATAGATAGATAGATAGATAGATAGATAGATAGATAGATAGATAGATAGATAGATAGATAGATAGATAGATAGATAGATAGATGATGGATAGATGGGTAGATGGATCAGTAGATAGATAGATGAATGGATGAATAGATAGGCAGGCAGATGGATGGACGGCGGACGGACGGATGGATGGATGAAAAGATAGATAGATGATGATTGGATGGGTGGGTGTGTGGGTGGGTGGATAGATAGATGGATGGATGGATGGATGGATGGATGGATGGATGGATAGATGATAGATAGATAGAGAGATAGATAGATAGATAGAAGATAGATAGATAGATAGATAGAATGAATGATAGAGATGGAGATAGATAGATAGATTGATGGATGGATGGATGGATGGATGATGATGGATAGGATAGATAGATAGATAGATAGATAGATAGATAGATAGATAGGAAGATAGATAGGAAGATAGATAGATGGATAGATGGATAGATAGATAGATAGATAGATAGATAGATTATTATTATTATTCTGTAATGTACGAGTATGCTGGAAGGCAGGCTTCTAAACTGGGTGAGATTCAGCCCCTGGTTTTCGTACATGCTTCCAGCTGGTCACCCAAAACGTCGAGGATCTGCTTGTGTGCGAAAGGAAGGAAGCAGACGACTTCCACTTCCATTCGGCTCACCGTTTTGCTCTCTGGGAGGAACCCTCGTCAAGGTCTTTTTGAGGAAGTCTGTGGCGAGCCAAAGGGAGAAGCAGAAGAAAGTGGAGAGAAGTGAAGGCAGAACTGCCAGGGAAAGTATAAGCGGAACGGTCTGGGCTCACTCCCTCGGGTTTTGCCAAAGAGCCACCAAAAGAGAGACAAGATGGCTCTTGGACTAATTTCCATGTCTGACCCTACCATTGAGTAGGTGGAGACCTAAGTCTGTGGCTTTCGTGGGTGATGGAATCATAGAATGATAGAATCAAAGAGTTGGAAGAGACCTCCTGGGCCATCATCCAGTCCAACCCCCTTCTGCCAAGAAGCAGTAATATTGCATTCAAATCACCCCTGACAGATGGCCATCCAGCCTCTGTTTAAAAGCTTCCAAAGAAGGAGCCTCCACCACACTCCGGGGCAGAGAGTTCCACTGCTGAACAGCTCTCACAGTCAGGAAGTTCTTCCTCATGTTCAGATAGTTTGAAGCCATTGTTCCATTGCGTCCTAGTCTCCAAGGAAGCAGAAAACAAGCTTGCTCCCTCCTCCTCCCTGTGGCTTCCTCTCACATATTTATTTATACATGGCTATCATATCTCCTCTCAGCCTTCTCTTCTTCAGACTAAACATGCCCAGCTCCTTAAGCAGCTCCTCATAGGGCTTGTTCCCCAGACCCTGGATCATTTGAGTCGCCCTCCTCTGGACACATTCCAGCTTGTCAATATCTCTCTTGAATTGTGGTGCCCAGAATTGGACACAATATTCCAGGTGTGGTCTAACCAAAGCGGAATAGAGCATGGGGAGCATGACTTCCCTAGATCTAGACACTAGGCTCCTCTTGATGCAGGCCAAAATCTCATTGGCTTTTTTTGCCGCCACATCACATTCCTGGCTCATGTTTAACTTGTTGTCCACGAGGACTCCAAGATCTTTTTCACACGTACTGCTCTCGAGCCAGGCCTCATTGACCCCCATTCTGTCTCTTTGCATTTCGTTTTTCCTGCAAGATCTCGTGCAAGTGTTAGGTTGGGGCTGGTTATTTATTTATTGTGTCAGGACCAAACCTAAACATTTGTATTGCTTTAAAAAACAGACAAACAAACAAAACACAAAGTTTGCAAGCTTGGTAGTTGATTAAATGTCCTTTGACCAGTAGCTGGCCCCTTGGAGTGCCTCTGGTGTTGCCGCAAGAAGGTCCTCCATCGTGCATCATGTGGCAGGGCTCAGGGTGCATTGCAGCAGGTGGTCAGTGGTTTGCTCTTCTCCACACTCGCATGTCGTGGATTCCACTTTGTGGCCCCATTTCTTGAGGCTGGCTCTGCATCTCGTGGTGCCAGAGCGCAACCTGTTCAGCGCCTTCCAAGTCACCCAGTCCTCTGTGTGCCCAGGAGGGAGTCTCTTATTTGGTACCAGCCATGGATTGAGCCTGCCACTTTTGGACTCTCGCTTGCTGAGGTGTTCCAGTGAGTATCTCTGTAGATCTTAGAAAACTATTTCTAGATTTAAGTTGTTGATGTGCTGGCTGATACCCAAACAGGGGATGAGCTGGAGATGTCTCTGCCTTGGTCCTTTCACTATTGGCTGCTACTTCCCGGCGGATGTCAGGTGGTGCAATACCGGCTAAGCAGTGTAATTTCTCCAGTGGTGTAGGGCGCAGACACCCCGTGATAATGCGGCGTGTCTCATTAAGAGCCACATCCACTGTTTTAGTGTGGTGAGATGTGTTCCACACTGGGCATGCATACTCAGCAGCAGAGTAGCACAGCGCAAGGGCAGATGTCTTCACTGTATCTGGTTGTGATCCCCTAGGTTGTGCCAGTCAGCTTTCGTATGATATTGTTTCTAGCACCCACTTTTTGCTTGATGTTCAGGCAGTGCTTCTTGTAGGTCAGGGCATGGTCCAGAGTGACTCCCAGGTATTTGGGTGCGCTGCAATGCTCCAGTGGGATTCCTTCCCAGGTAATAATCCTCAGAGCTTGGGATGCTTGTCTGTTCTTAAGGTGAAAAGCACATGTCTGTGTTTTACATGGATTAGAGATCAGCTGGTTTTCCCTGTAATAGGCAGTAAGAGCACCTAGAGCTTCGGAGAGCTTCTGTTCAACCATCTCAAAGCTCCCTGCTTGAGCAGTGATGGCACGATCATCAGCATAGATGAAACTCTCTGTCCCTTCTGGCAGTGGCTGGTCATTTGTGTAGATGTTGAACACGGATGGAGCAAGCACGCTCCCTTGAGGCAGGCCGTTCTTCTGTTTCCGCCATCTGCTTCTCTGGCCCTGGAACTCAACAAAAAAGCTCCTGTTTTGTAGCAGGATTCCTATGAGATGGGTGAGGTGGTAGTCCTTTGTGAGATTATATATATGATATGATTGGGGATCAGCTGGTTTCCCCTGTCATAGGCAGTAAGAGCACCTAGAGCTTCGGAGAGCTTCTGTTCTACCATCTCAAATCTCCCTGCTTGGGTGGTGATAGCATGATCGTCAGCATAGATGAAGCTCTCTGTCCCTTCTGGCAGTGGCTGGTCATTTGTGTAAATGTTGAACATGGATGGAGCAAGCACGCTCCCCTGAGGCAGGCCGTTCTTCTGTTTCCGCCATCGGCTTCTCTGGAAAGTAAATAAATAAATGTCATTCCCAAGAGCGAGGCGTTTTCAATCCCTCTCCCTTTGGTTTATTATTTTGCAGGCTGCTGAGAGAACAGTGGATCCGAGCCAAGTACGAAAGGAAGGAGTTCATCTACATTGAGAAGCAAGAGCCTTACTCTGCAGGTAAAGGTGAATGGCGTCACCCTATCGATGCTTGCCACTCAAAGGTTGACAATTAAGTTGCGCATATTATTTAGCCGCCAAGCGATGCTGCGTATCTCCACTTGTCCTGATTTAGCAGTTCATCCTTTGCCGTCCTACTTTTTCTGCTGCTTTGAAAATGTCCTGGTTTCTTTCTCCTCCTCCCGCTTTTCCCCCTTTGTCTTCAGCTTCACTTTAAATGCTGCAAACTGGGCTCAAAGTACAAAAGGAGTTCATTGACTTAAGATGCATCTGTTGTTCATTCGTTCAGTCGTTTCCGACTCTTCGTGACTTTATGGACCAGCCCACGCCAGAGCTCCCTGTTGGTCGTCACCACCCCCAGCTCCTTCAAGGTCAATCCAGTCACTTCAAGGATATCATCCATCCATCTTGCCTTAAAGTGAATCTATAATATGGGAAAAAATGTAGTTTGACACCACTTTAACTGGCAATACATTGTGGAGTTGTAGTTTGGTGAGGCACCTTGGGAGAGAAAACTACAGAGCATGTAATCTACACAGTAGGATTATAACGGTTTCAGACCACTTTAATTGCCACGGCCACATGCTGTGGAATCCTAGGAGTTGTAAGTTTTGTGAGGCGTCGTCTCTCTTTGGCAGGGAAGACTTTATAAAACTACAATTCTCATGATTCCATAGCATTGAACCTAAGGTCAAGTTGTATGTCAGCCTGTTCAGCCTGTGGTTGTGTCTGTGCTGGGAATGGGGATGATGTTCCTGATGGTGTGCCTGGGTCTGTTGACAGTGGGGACGAGGGTTTGCCTGGGCCTGAGTTAAGCTCAGACAAGAGGCCCGAGCTATCTCAGGAAGATTCACAAGGCCACATTCCTGGGAGAGGCCCTTCTCAGTCTTTCTCAGAGCAAATGTGTGGAGATGATTTGTCAGGTGCAGAAATTAATGAGAGTCAAGTTAACGAGAGTGTAGATAGAAAGCAAGGCTTTTGTAAACAATGACAGAGTGCTCAGGCGCAAATAAGATCAGTTTGTTTACAGGAAAAGAGAGATAAGAAACCTTTATCTGTTGGTAAGGTCAAGAGAAATGCTTTCCTTTCGATTCTGAGAACTAGAAAAGCCTTATACTGATTCATGGGGAAAAACTGCCTCAGTTGGGTCAACGTTGGAATTTCATGTCTAGCCTTGCTCTCAAGTGCTCTTAGTTTCATGCACCAAGTTTTTGACAAGTTCCTGATTTGTGTATTGGATTTTTCATGCTGCCTTGTTTCATGGATTGTTGTTTCAATGGATCTTATTTTGCCTTAAAGCTCGTGGACTATCCTTCATTTAGGGAACGTTTTTGCTAATTTTACTGCTTTGCCTACATATATTCTTCAATAAACTGCTTGCTGATTTTACCAAGCTAGTGTGGGGTTTAAGGTCAGAGGTGTTCCTGCTCTGGCGTTCAACAGACACCGCATTAACTGCCATGGCATTGTGGAGTTGTAGTTTGGTGAGGCACCTTGGGAGAGAAAGCTATAGAGGATGGAAAACTGCATCTACACAGTGAAATTATAGCAGTTTCAGACCACTTTAATTGCCACGGCTCCATGCCCTGGAATCCTAGGTGTACTGATACGGCTGTACCAGGAGCTCCTACTTTATTTGCTTTGTATTAAATGTTTGCTTGCAGTCCAAGGTTTCAGGGACTCTGCAGAAAGGTGGTTTCCTTTGGTTGCAGTCATAGGGCAAGTCACCAGTCCATCATCATTAAGTTCTGGTTCCGCCCCTTGCTCAGGGCAATTGGGAAGGGAAGGGAGCCATTTTTAGTTAGTCTCAGCAAGGAAAGGTAATGTACAGGACGTGTGCAAGCTTCCCCTGTACAAAAGCTTCAACCCTTAAGACTTTCCGGGGGAAAACAGTCTTAAGAGCATCCAAGACTTTCCGGGGGAGGTCTTAAGAGTCTCCAAAGATTCTAACGATTTCCAGGGAAACAGCCCTAAAGACCAAAGAACTCCAGCTGGAGAATATCTAAGCCTTTACTGATAGGTCCACTCGACGTTCGAGAAGCAGTTCTACCCGGTAGCAGAGCCCACATCAGTAAGGGTTAGATTATAGTCAGCCTGGGAGAAGTTAAAAAGGGGATTTTCCTTTAAAGTAAAGAAGAAGTTATTGAAGACAGTTGCCTGTCCTTCATGGGCAATTTTAGGAAGCTACCAGTTGCATAAAAGCCTGGAATCATTTGTTTATCTTTACTGAAGACAAGAGAAGTTTCTGTTTGATTGCTCATTAATAAGGGACTTTGTTATAGATCACAAGCCATCTAAAGACTATTTGTGGTGGAAAACCTCTGAGAGCTTCTCCTTGGGCCCCCTGGCTTCCCGCTGGGCAAAGGTTGCACGTCCTGTTCTAAAGGAAATTCTTTACAGGCCCAGCGCGCAACAGAACACTAGGAATTGTAAGTTTGGTGAGGCACCAGCTCTCTTTGGCAGGGAAGACTTTATAAAACTATGACTCCCATGATTCCATAGTATTGAGCCTAGGGCAGTTAAGCTTGTGTCAAACTGGGTTAATTTTACAGTGTAGATGTAGCTGCACTGTCAGGTGGCAGATGATACATTAAGGAAAGAAGCTACTATCTTTAGCAGCAGGCAATGAAAATGAACTTGTGGGTTTATTTACATTCACCTGAGTGTGACTTTTCAACCGTGTCTTACTAATTTTGTGCATTAACGACCTGCGCATAATGCAATTGAGTCAGACAGTGGTGCAAGATGAACGGCAGGCTTCGTCGCAAGCTCGAAAATGCTCTCAAAAGATCAAAGATAAGATAGAAAGCATCACATACGTTAACTTGGAAACGGAACAGTAATGGCTTTGTTGAGTTGCGCGAGAAGCCGGACACTTATCAACAGAGCTGTGCACGTGATGGTAATCTCTGGAGCTCTTGTGCGTGTGAGGAGAAACCACGGAACTGTATTCTGACAAGAAGCAGAATTGTGCATCTACACTGTAGAATTAATGCAGTTTGACACCACATTAATGACCAAGATTTGGTGCTATTAAAGGCAGGGGTTGCAAGGTCTTGTGCTGGCGCTTCACCAAACTACAGCTCCTGTGATTCCATAGCACCGAACCGTGGTGGTTAATATGGTGTCAAGCTGTATCAATATCCCAGTGTAGATGCACCCTCGGTGTTGCTATTGGTCATGCGAATCAGTCACTGGTCTGATATTTGGCTCCTTATTCAGCAATCAGTGGGAAGGACCGGTCTCTTTGCAACACTCACCAGCTTCCTTTGCAAAGTGGGGCGGCGTCAGGCTTTTGTGGTCTTCCTCTCCGCACGTGCTTGAAACCATTCTGCAAACAGATTAAGTAGCAGACATTTGGAGTTACTATGAACAGGTTGCTTGCAAAAAAATCTCCCCACCACAACACACAACCGAAGCATGGCCACAGTATCTTATGATTGCAATGTATGTCTCTTTTTCCCACGCTACCCAGGAATGGGTCAGGACGTTATTGAATGCCTTGCAGTTCTGGCAGATGGTGGTCGTTTCAATTTTTCTAGTGAAACAACTTACATGTCACTTGCGGTTTCCCGCTTTTCCCTCTCTTTTGTTCTTTCTTCTTTCTCTTTCTTTTCTACCATTCTTTCGTCTCTTCTTCCTTCCTTTTCCTTCCTCTTTTTATTTCCCTTCCTTCATCCCCTCTTCCCTTTCTTTACCTCCTTTTATACCTTTCTTTTCCTCCCTTCCTCCCTCCCTTCCTCCCTTCTTTTTTCCCTCCCCTCCCATCCCTTTCTTCTATTCCTCCATCTCCTCTTTCTTTTCCCTTCCTCCATCCCTTCTTCCTTCCCTTTCCTTCCCTCTCTTTATACCTTTATTTTCCTTCCTTCCTCCCCTCTTCCCTTTCTTTACCTCCTTTTATACCTTTCTTTTCCTCCCTTCCTTCATCCCTTCTTTTTCCCTCCCCTCCCTTTCTTCTATTCCTCCCTCTCCTCTTTCTTTCCCTTCCTCCATCCCTTCTTCCTTCCCTTTCCTTCCCTCTCTTTATACCTTTATTTTCCTTCCTTCCTTCCTCCCCTCTTCCTTCCCTTTCTTTACCTCCTTTTATACCTTTCTTTTCCTCCCTTCCTTCATCCCTTCTTTTTCCCTCCCCTCCCTTTCTTCTATTCCTCCCTCTCCTATTTCTTTCCCTTCCTCCATCCCTTCTTCCTTCCCTTTCCTTCCCTCTCTTTATACCTTTATTTTCCTTCCTTCCTCCCCTCTTCCTTCCCTTTCTTTACCTCCTTTTATACCTTTCTTTTCCTCCCTTCCTTCATCCCTTCTTTTTCCCTCCCCTCCCTTTCTTCTATTCCTCCCTCTCCTATTTCTTTCCCTTCCTCCATCCCTTCTTCCTTCCCTTTCCTTCTCTCTCTTTATACCTTTATTTTCCTTCCTTCCTCCCCTCTTCCTTCCCTTTCTTTACCTCCTTTTATACCTTTCTTTTCCTCCCTTCCTTCATCCCTTCTTTTTCCCTCCCCTCCCTTTCTTCTATTCCTCCCTCTCCTATTTCTTTCCCTTCCTCCATCCCTTCTTCCTTCCCTTTCCTTCCCTCTTTTTATACCTTTATTTTCCTTCCTTCCTCCATTCCTTCCTCCCTTCTTTAATCCCTCTTTCTTCCCTTCCCTCCCTTTCTTCTATTCCTCCCTCTCCTCTTTCTTTTCCTTTCCTTCATCCCTTCATTATTCCCTTTCCTTACCTTTCTTTATACCTTTTTTTCTCTTCCTTCATCCCTTCTTCCCTTTCCTTCCCTCTCTTTATACCTTTATTTTCCTTCCTTCTTCCCCGTTCATTACTTGATCCCTTCTTTGATCCCTCTTTATTCCCTTCCCTCCCTTTCTTCTATTCCTCTCTCCTCTTTTTTCCTTTCCTTCATCCCTTCTTCCTTACCTTTCCTTACCTCCTTTTATACCTTTCTTTTCTTTCATCCCTTCTTCCTTCCTTTTCCTTCCCTTTCTTTATTTTCCTCCCTCCCTCCCTTCATT